TTAGATTTTTTCCTCATTCAAACTATAAGAAAAGGTAATTAATTAGATTTGGACTTTATCTTCTTCTTTTTCTTTTTGGCGCAAATCAGGACTTTATTGCTATCAACAAGAATATCATGATTAAAAGTTTCATTTTCTTTTTCCTATACCTCATATTACAAGCTTTGAAATAATGGTTGGCCCAACGGGGCCTTTCAGAGCACAAAGTGACAAAACCAAGTTTGTTAAGTCTCAAGTGCACATAAAACTGAAAAAAACTACAATTTTGTATATCAATATTGTTATTATGGTTAATTAGGAAATGACTAATGAGCATAGGAAAATCCTTTTTATTTTCTAAATTGAATAGTAAGCTAAACATAAAATTCCCATATTTCCTAAAAATTGACCCAGCACATTTGAGACAAACAGAAAATTTCCTTTCTTACCAGCTACTCTACCGGTCTCCCGGTGCTCTGCATTTTGGCGAGGGCTTTCCAAATCTTGGAATTTATTGTATGAGGGTTGTGCATGGGCTGTAGGTGACGGCACCTCTGTGCGGTTTTGGCATGATGATTGGGTTGACGGTGCCAGTCTGTTAGCTCAACATCTATTGGCCCCTCTTCCTGAGACTGAAACCGAGGCTGTGGTCGCCCATTATGTGGCACTTGTGGGTGGATGGGCATGGGACAAACTTACTCATCGTCTACTTGCCTCTATTTGTTTGAAGATAGCAGCCATTCTGGCCCCGTCCCCGGGCGCGGGCCCGGACGTCCTCTTTTGGAAGCATACAGCTTCCGGACAATTCTCCACTGCCTCGGCCTATGCCCAGCTGGTTCCGAACGAGGACATTGATCCAGTTTGGACCTTGATTTGGCGATGGCTTGGATGTGCCTACCTGTGGCTGCTTACCAGGGAGGCCCTGCTCACCAATGCCCGACACTACAACAGGCATATGTCTTTTGATCCTGACTGCCCCTATTGTCGTTTGGGTATTGAAACTGCCTTGCATATGGTCCGTGACTACCCTTGGATTCGGGATATATGGCTCTCCTTTGGTCCCATTCTACCTCCATTGTTCTTCTCATGCACCAATATTCAGGACTGGGTGTTGCTGAACTTACGATGTAAGACCTTTGTAAATGCAGAGGTACCTTGGCGTGTGTTTTTCGGTACTCTCTGCTGGCTAAGCTGGCAATGGCGTAATTTAGTGGTTTTTTGAGGATCAGGAAGAGCCTCCCTTCAATCCAATTTGCCAGGCCCTGTCTCTCGCAATTGACTTTGCTAAGGTTGCCATCACCCGTCAATCTATAGGGGCTAGCCTCCCAAGGCGTAATGTTACACAGGTTCAATGGCAGCCACCACCAATTGGATGGGTCCGCCTTAACTCTAATGGAGTCACAACTGCACAAGGGCATTCTGCTGCAGGTGTGTAATTCGCGGTGCTAGGGGTGAATGGATAGATGGGTATTGCTATAATATCGGGCTTTGTTCTCCTTTCCAAGCAGAGTTGTGGGGGTTGTTCGTCGGCTTGAACAGAGCATGGGAGCTCGGTTTTCGTCAGGTGGAAGTTGAGGTTGATGCTAATTAAGACTCTCATTGACAACCTTCGTTTGCAGGAGGTTTAGGCTCGTGGGGGAGCTACGCTGTTTTATGCTATTTGGCAGTTACTTAACAGGGAGTGGTAGGTGATTTTACGACATATTTACCGCGAGGCCAATCGTTGTGCTGATTGGTTGGCGCGTTTTGTCTTGTCATGCAACTTAGGTGTTTTTCATTTTGTGCAACCCCTGATGAGTGTGTTTATATTATACTAGAGGACATTGGTGGGGAATCCTCCCCAGAGTTGTGTAACTGAGCCCTTTGGCTGCTTCTATCATTCAGATAAAAAAAAAAAAAATCCCAAGTCCTACTAAAATCATTTGTAAAATAAAAAATTTAATTAGATGGGAATTGGTAGGTGAGCCATTGCATGCCCATTTAGAAATTTCTGTGGGCCTTGATAGGCCCCATAACATCTGGACAGATCCAACCCAATAATTAAACACATTAGGGTTATAAAACAAGCAGCGCGCACATTCCACCAACGGCGCATTCTAGCCACTAACCCCCACAGTCAAAATAACTTGCACTTAAAATTCGAAACAGAAAAACGCGCACTATACCACTACCAGTAGTAGTAGTAGGCCTTTACTGTTCTTCTTCTTCACTAAAATGGCGGCCTCCACGTCTTTTCCCGGCTCTCTCCACCCCTACGCCGGCGGCGAAGACCACCGTCAGAACGGCGGAGAAACCGGCTCTCGTCTCCATCCCCACCGCCAACTTACGATCTTTCACTTCCGTATCCAAGGCGGTTAAAGCGAGTAGTTGTTATGGTAAAGGTAGTGGATCGCCATCGGCTCTCGGTGCTCGGATGGTCTCCGTCCCTTCCGCGAAGCCGATTACGTCTCTCGATTTCGGTACCTCCGTCTTTAAGAAGGAGAAAATCGCACTCGCCGGCCACGATGAGGTAGTTCTCTCTCTGTTTATTTTTTCCTCTTTTCATTTCCTTTTATTGAATTTTTTACTAACATTTTTATTCAATTTTCGATTTGTTGTAGTACATTGTGAGAGGAGGGAGGGATCTGTTCCACTTGTTTCCGGATGCGTTCAAGGGGATTAAACAGATTGGTGTCATCGGTTGGGGTTCTCAGGTGAATCATGTTTCTTTTATTCCCCTGTTTTGATTTTCTTCTTTGGTGTATTGTTTATATTATTAGAGTTGATTTATGTTTGTGTCTTTATTAGTGATTACTTGTTTACTTGGTTTGGGCTGAAATTGAATTGTTTGGCTTGATTTGATGGCTCAAAGGTTCAGAATGGCTGCTGACTTGAGATTTCTTCAGTAAGTTGGTGTTTGGGTGGATTGGATTTGATTGCTGCTCTTATTGTTTTAGATTAATTGGAACAAATGTTATGGGTTGAGTGTGCTGGTAGTGGTCACATATGTTTACGCAGCCGCAGATGAGCCTACCTAGACTGCCTTTGCACTTTTGTCAGTAATTTTTCATGAATTTGTTGAAATAATGTAATTTTTGGAAGGCCAGAGATGGAAAGGCATTGTAGCTTGAACATAGCTGGATACGATCTGGATTTAGTGGCCTATGGAGATGCTTTATAGAATATGATATTGCCTTAACTTCAGAATAGGTGGTAAAGAAAATATCAGCCGAAGAACTGGATTGTTGAGAGAATATAAGCTTCTTCCTTCCCTTCCTAAAGTGAAATATGTAGCCATAGACTTGACACTTCTTTTTTTTTTTTTTCTGGAGAGAAGGTTATCCCAGGGAAACACATAATCCTATACACCATATTCCTATGAATACTACATCTCAGCAAAATCATTCTTAGAACAGCAGCAGCATAAGAGCATCATAATAATAAGTAGTCTCTGATCTCCTCTTTTCAATTGAACAGAGATCACATGAGCCATTAGGACGGCAAAGCCTAACCTTAGTTGCTTAGCCAATTTAAAACAGCATGACAAGTTGAACTTGTGTCTGGGGATTGAGATTGGTCCCTGTAACAACTTGACCAATTAACTCTTTGTACCTTATGGCACAAAAAAGAAGAAAATCTTACATACTTTTCACTAAGAAATCCCATCAAAGTGTTTGTTCCCGAAGATTTAATCACCATCTGCTTCTTTGAGAATGACTCTTCCTTGAAAATTAGACTGTATCACTCTCAATTATTCAAATCTTGCAGAAGGTCATTTTCCAACGCTGGCCCCAATTGCATAATCAACTTTAATGCCATATGAATAACTTTTTGTTTTGACAACTTACCCGCTAATTTCTGATTTGAGCATCAGTATTAAAAATATTTTATCTGCAGCCAATGTTGCTAACTTTGTCTCTCTTTCTTGTAAGGGTCCTGCTCAAGCTCAGAATTTGAGGGATTCTCTTGCTGCAGCCAATTCTGATATTGTAGTCAAGGTAATCTACGCCCCTATGCTATATCCTAGCTTCGTCTAGCCGATTGCTTGAACTTAGCGCATCAAGTTATCTTTCCTGAATCAGTAGTTCATTTCCTCTGATTTCAGTATTCTCATGATATAGATTGGACTTAGAAAAGGCTCCCGTTCCTTTGCCGAAGCTGCTGCTGCTGGATTTACGGAGGAGAATGGAACTTTAGGTGATATATGGGAGACCATATCAGGCTGCGTTCTTGTGTTGCTTTTAATTTCGGATGCTGCACAGGTTTGTCATCGTAACACTCTTGAGTTTGTGCTCTGAAGATTCTTTGTTCTGTTTGTGGCTATGATTGTGGATAACTGTACAGATGTTCAATTGTTAGAAATATTTCTTCTCCTACTGTCGGTGAAAGAAAGAAAACCACAACTTGAAGATGTTCCAAAACCTTTCCTCCAAATTGAGTGCATCAAACTTTAGGGTGTTGGCTTGTGAGATTGCGTTGAAAGCAGACTTTATGATACAAGCACATCAATAAAAACATACATAGAGGTTTGCAATTGTCTCTCGGTGTGGTTTTGTAGACATTCTTGTGGGTGTGCTTAGATGATTTAGCTCTGTATATATACTTTCAATAAGTCTTGCTCCTAGTGTTAGTTGTAGAGGAAAACAAGTAGGGACCAGGCTCTAAGCGTGGCACCTTAGATCATTCTTATACATTGTTTTACTACTTGGCATAATGTAGAGGAATATGTGAAGTGAATACGTACGTTACTAAAATTAAGGTGACAAGGTTCGATCAAAAAGAAATTAAAGGTGATGGCGGGGAATGCCAATTATGCTTACAACTTGGAAGTCCGATGAAAGATGTCAGAACTGGATTTGGACTAGTTTTCAAAACCAGCACTTGGACTACCGTGCCCATAATTTATTATTAACCCTTTTTTATATAAAAGATTTTTGTTTTGGGCTACGGTGACCAGAATCTTTTCCCAGTCTTGACAAAGAATCTTTAATCTTTTCCAACCAAAATAAAAAGTTATTATTAACAATAGCTAAAATTTTAGCTGTCAGGAGTGGGATTTGAATCCACGCCCTCTTTAACGAGGAAGAGACTTTGAATCTGCCACCTTAGACCACTCGGCCATCTTGACTTAATTAATATACTTTTTGTCCTATTTGTATTAAAATATAATTAACCAAACATAAATGAGATGGTTTTCTAAACATGCATGCCACTGTGATCGATGTGCTATTAATACTTCTTCAAAACATGCTTAAAAAAGTTCATTGTCAGGAGTGGGATTTGAACCCACGCCCTCTTTAGCGAGGAACAGATGCTTAGTCTGCCGCCTTAGACCACTCGGCCATCCTGACTAATTTATTTTAATTTTTGTCTTATTTGTATTTATTTTAATTTCCCAACATAAATGAGATGGTTTTCTAAAGATGCATGCGGCTCTGTGATCAAGTCAGAAACTGTATGCATCATTCCAATGACTGTTTTTGCTCTTAGTGGAAATAAACCAAACAATGTTTGCAGCAGTTGCTTGGCTCACAATCATTCTCAGAAATTTACTATAACCGAGAACCATTAGCGAAATATTTCTCAATAACAACTGTTACAATCTCAGTTTTCAAGTTTATGAACAAACATCTCTGTGTATGTGCTCTTTCTACTTCTTCTCTATCTGACTTGTACTGTAAAATCGTTTACCACTAAAGCAACTCTTGGTTGGATGAAGGAAAATGCAAATTAACTGCGGAGTTTGTTTCTCGGACATCTTTTTGTAATGTCTCTGATCTTTTTGAACATTATCCTTTTCCTGTGATGTTTTCTCTGGGTCTGACTTTTTTGTAGTAAGTGCCTGAAGAAACTGTGTAGAGTATTGTGTATTAAACATTCAGTTTCTCATGCTTTATGCTTTTTTTTTTTAGTTGAAGAACACTTGATGTATTTGCTGACTGATATCTGTAAATTACTCTCATCTCTTCATTGATTGTTCTTGTAATAGCCCTTGTGTCTCTTGCGTTTGGTCTTTTGCTGAAGTTTTCTGTTTATCCTGAGTTCCTGACAAAATTCAAAATTAAAGACAACAAAAAAGTTTATTGTCAGGAGTGGGATTTGAACCCACGCCCTCTTTAGCGAGGAACAGATGCTTAGTCTGCCGCCTTGGACCACTCGGCCATCCTGACTTTATTAATATACCTTTTGCCTCATTTGCATTAAAATATAATTCACCTTAGAAGCATGCAATTAAAAGTAATAAAATTGTTTGTCAGAAGTGGGATTTGAACCCACACCCCCTTTAACGAGGAATAGATGCTGAGTCTATCGCGTTTGACCACTCGGCCATCCTGACTTAATTAATATGATTTTTGTCTTATTTGTATTAAAATATAATTTACCTACATAAATGAGATGTAAAGATGCATTTAGCTTTGTGATTAGTTCACAGAAAGTATATGTATCCATCCAATGATTGCTTTTGCTCAGTGTTAAGACAGTAAACAACTTTTGCAGCAGTTACTTGGCGCACAATCATTCTCTTGAAATTGCTATAACCGAGAACCATAGGCGAAGTACTTCCTAATTCCAACTCTTATGACCTTAGCTGTGAATGTGCTCCTCTACTTTCTCTTCTCTATGTGACTTGTGTAAATCGTTTTCCACTAAAAGAGAATTCAACTGTCCAGTTTGTTTCTTTGACATCCTTTTGTAATCATTCTCTTGAAATTTACTATAACCGAGAACCATTACCGAAATATTTCCCAATACCAACTCTTATAATCTCAGTTTTCAATTTTATGAACAAATATCTCTGTGAATGTGCTCTTTCTACTTCCTCTTCTCTATCTGACTTGTAGTGTAAAATTGTTTTCCACTAAAGCAACTCTAGGTTGGATGAAGGAAAATGGAATTTAACTGTCCAGTTTGTTTCTCTGACATCTTTTTGTAATGTCTTTGTTCTATTTGAACATATCCTTGTCCCCTAATGTTTCTCTTGGTCTAATTTTTCATAGTAAGTGCCTGAAGAAACTGTGTAGAGTATTGCGCACTAAAAATTCAGTTTTGTCATGCTTTATGCGTTTTTTCAGTTGAAGAACACTTGATGTAGTTGCCGAGTAATATCTGTGAATTACACTCATCTCTTCATACTTTTTGTTTCCGATTCGGTTTCCGAAGTTTTGCCACGCATCCCTTCATTGATTCTTCTTATATATAATAGCCATTGTGTCTCGTACGTTTGGTTTTTTCCTTAAGTTGTTTGTTGATAGGAGGAAGGTGTGACAAAGCGAGATGTTTTCATCTTACTAACCAGTAGTTAGAATTCGGAATTGTACCCACGCCTCCTGTGAAGGGTTTAAACCTGTTGGCTGTTGCCTTAGAGCCACTAGTCTATCCTGACCAGTTCATATATTTCTTGCCTTATTGGTATTAATAACTATTTTGTCATCATTAAAGACAAATACAGGTTTCTCATTGTGTCTCGGTATGGTTTTGTAGACGTTCAATTGTAGCTATTCCTAGGTGATGATAGCTCTGTATATGTACTTTCAGTAAGTCTTGCTATTAGTGTTTCGTTGTAGGAAAAAAAAAGGTGTGGACAAAGCTCTAATCCTGTCACCTTGAATCATTCTTATTCTTTATGATCTTTTACTACTGGACATGATCTAAAGAAATATGTGAAGTGAGTGGGTACATTCCTCAAATTAAGGTAAATGCATTAAATAATAAGAAAAAAAGTACATTGTCAGGAGTGGGATTTGAACCCACGCCCTCTTTAGCGAGGAACAGATGCTTAGTCTGTCGCCTTAGACCGCTCGGCCATCCTGACTTGGTTAATATACTTTTTGTCTTATTTGTATTAAAATATGATTTATCTTAGAAACATGCAATTAAAAATAATAAAATTGTTTGTCAGGAGTGGGATTTGAACCCACGTCCCCTTTAACGAGGAATAGATGCTAAGTCTACCGCCTTAGACCACTCGGCCATCCTGACTGATTTTATTTTAACTTTTGTCTTATTTGTATTAAAATATAATTTACCAACATAAATGAGATGGTTTTTTAAAGATGCATTTGGTTCTGTGAGTGTATGTATCCGTCCAATGATTGTTTCTGCTCAGTGTTAAGAAAGTAAACAACTTTTGCACCAGTTGCTTGGGGCACAATCATTCTCTTGAAATTTACTTTTAACTCGGAGTCATAGGCGAAATACTTTCCAATACCAACTCTGATATTCTTGTGCACTTCCACTTTCTCTTCTCTATGCGACTTGCAGTATAAATCGTTTCTCACTAATGCAATTCTCGATTGGATGATGCAAAGGGAAATCAGCTCTAGTTTGTTTTTGAACATTACCCTCTTCCCGTAATGTTTTCTTGGTGGTCTGATTTTTTATAGTGAGTGCCAGAAGAAACTGTGTATTGTGTAGTAAACATTGCGCTTTTTCAGTTGAAAAACTCTTGTATTTGGTGAATTACTCTTATCTCTTCAAGAATTTTATTTTTTTTTTTGCCTTTTTGGTACTCGAAATTATTTGTTTGTAGACATTCTTGTGGCTGTGCTTAGGTGATAGTAGCTCTGTATATGTGCTTTCAGTAAGTCTCATGTATTTGGTGAATTACTCTTATCTCTTCAAGAATTTTATTTTTTTTTGCCTTTTTGATACTCGAAATTATTTGTTTGTAGACATTCTTGTGGCTGTGCTTAGGTGATAGTAGCTCTGCATATGTGCTTTCAGTAAGTCTTAGAAAAAAAGAATAACAAAAAGTTCAGGAGTGGGATTTGAACCCACGCCCTCTTTAGCGAGGAACAGATGCTGAGTCTACCGCCTTAGACCGCTCGGCCATCCTGACTTGGTTAATATATTTTTTGTCTTATTTGTATTAAAATATGATTTATGTTAGAAACATGCAATTAAAAATAATAAAATTGTTTGTCAGGAGTGGGATTTGAACCCACGCCCCCTTTAACGAGGAATAGATGCTGAGTCTACCGCCTTAGACCACTCGGCCATCCTGACTTAATTAATATGATTTTTGTCTTATTTATATTAAAATATAATTTACCTACATAAATGAGGCGGTTTTCTAAAGATGCATTTGGCTCTGTGATTATGTCGCATAAAGTCTATGAATCCATCCAATAATTGTTTTTGCTCAGTGTTAAGACAGCAAACAACTTTTGCTGCAGTTGCTTGGCGCACAATCATTCTCTTGAAATTTACTATAACAGAGAACCATAGGCGAAATACTTTCCAATACCAACTCTTATATTCTCAGCTATGAATTTGACTTCTACTTTCTCTTCTCTTTGCGACTTGTAGTGTAAAGCGTTTTCCACTAAAGCAATTCTCGATTGGATGATGCAAAGGGAAATCGGCTGTCCAGTTTGTTTCTTGGACATGTTTTTGTAATCTCTTTGTTCCTTTTGAACATTACCCTTTTCCCGTGATGTTTACTCTGGTGGTCTGATTTTTTACAGTAAGTGCTTGAAGAAACTGTTTAATGTGTACTAAACATTTACGTTG